GATCTAAACACATACCTAATGAAAATAAAAGAAAAAAGATGAATTTAGATCTAAGAACTTGTAAACTTGGTAACAGCCTTGGTTCCTTCAGAGACAGCGTGTTTAGCCAATTCACCAGGCAACACGAGCCTCACAGCAGTCTGAATCTCCCTTGAAGTTATTGTTGGTTTCTTGTTATAACGAGCCAATCTAGAAGATTCCTGTGCAAGTTTCTCAAATATATCGTTTATGAAACTATTCATTATCCCCATAGCCTTAGAGCTTATACCAATGTCTGGGTGAACCTGCTTCAGCACCTTAAATATGTAGATCTTGTATGTTTCCACGCTCTTCTTGTTCTTCTTCTTCTTTTTGTCAATAGAGGCAGCACCTTCCTTTGGGAGTTTCTTCCCTGCCTTAGGTTTCTTCTCCGCCGGTGATGACTTCTCGGCAACGGTGGATTTCTTCTCCTCCACGGGCTTCTTCTCCGCTGGCTTCTTCTCTGCCTTTGGCGCCATTACGAGATTATAGAATCTGAGATAAATGAAAGAATAGGGTTTTCTTTCAGATTTGGGATTGGAATAGCGAAAGAGTTGTGTGATTGATACTAGATTGGAAGCGTTCATATATAAGAGGTGTTTCGCGTTCTTATTGGTTGATGAGATATCCCTCGGATCGATGACGTGGATCTTACTTATCCGTTAAAATGGAAGGAGCGCATGAGAACAAGAAAAAATAGCATATCGCATAAGATACACGCATAAGCAAATCTCAACATTACTATAATTCTCTTATCGGGAAAATATTAAAATATTAATAGCCAAATTATTGCCTTATATATGTTTTTGGAGCTTCGTTTTGACTTGATTACTTACTTTTAATTTTTTCAAACTACATTTCTCTGTCTATATTTATCTAAGGCTTAAATATATATATTTTATCATTTGGATGTGCTTGAGTATGATATATGTTTGAGAGAATAGTACCTAAGAGTACGAGAGAAAATATTATGCCTTAATTTAATTTTTTTTAGGACAGATTTTTTTTATTTATAGAGGAGAAGGATACGGAAATTTTGGGATGGCAAAACCTTTTCTTTGAGTTCCCAGGAAAATAACATATGAATGAAAACAGATATTATAATATTTGTCGCAGCTAACAAAACCACACACAAAATGTATTTTGTGAGATAGACCCAAAACACATTTTTTGATTAAAAGAAAAAAGAATGATACTCATTTTGATTTTGAAAATCTTTGTATATATCAACTTGATCTCTAAAAAATGAAAGTTTAAATTATTACTTGTAACATCACCCAATGAATCAAATTAATATAAATAGTCATAAAATGCTAAGAATTACTAATTTTACCTACATTTATATTTTTGGGTTCCTCACTTTATTATGAACTAAAGTGATACAATCAAATAATTTTAATAACAAAGTGGATATTTAATAAATAATAAAATTAAAATAACCACATCGTTGTTCCTCAAACTTCCTACTTCATTTTGTGGAAGCCCATTCTGTTTCCTATCCAAACAAGTCACCATCGCCACGCCTCTTTAAGCCATATCACCAAATTTAAGCCATCATCTAAATGCGTAAAACTCCTTTTCAGCTTCCCTTGGTAATCATTCATAGCATAAAAATCACAAATAAAATCAACAAATTCGTGCTCCATCGATCATTTTCGTTTCTCAAAACACAATGACAAATAACCACACAAAAAAACAACAGGCTACTTTCTAAATCATTTTAATACACAAAGATTAACTTCGCGGTTAACATAACAATAGGTATGGTAACTTCTATACCCGAAATTGTCTACCAGATCCACAACTCAATTACCGTCATCACATAATAAACCAGTTATGTTGGTTTTGTTTCAGAGTGGAAGGAACTTTTGCCACGCCCATAATTATTTATCCGCAGCTTTAATCACTAAAAACAAACCTAACAGACTAATGGATAAAAGCACCGAGTCAAATAATTGTGTTCGCTACATGGAAATATAAACACTACAAGCAACAGCATATTCGACTATGCATTGTAGTGCGGCATTACCAACAAAATATCTTGCTTTACATTTGAATAAAATAATCTCTTAAAACAGTCAAAGTAAATAAACTAATGCGTACCATTACTAACAAATGCAAGTTTGACACAGACAATTTAATACAAAACAAAAAATGGGATGCATTAAGAATGCTAAACCAAAGAGGTCAAGGTATCAACGCACATATCTTAGATGTAAGTTCCTAGTTTGATTAATGAAGTAACACATGTTCCAACAAGTGGATGTGGTTTCTGGTGGATAGAAATCAGAAAGGCATTCTAAATTGTATAGGAAGTTAGAGTCATGGTGACAATAGGATAAGTTGAAGTTAAGAAAACCCAGTGAATTTATAATTTCACAATTGGGCTATTCGCTTTAACGCACAGGATCTAGTTTCACAACTTTAACAACAAACTAGTAATTGAAATCTGAACATAGATTTATAAAACAAAAGCAGAGAACTAATCTAAGAGCTTGTAAACTTGGTAACAGCCTTGGTGCCTTCAGAGACAGCATGTTTGGCCAATTCACCTGGCAAAACGAGTCTAACTGCAGTTTGTATCTCCCTTGAAGTTATTGTAGGTTTCTTGTTATAACGAGCTAATCTGGATGATTCCTGAGCAAGCTTCTCGAATATATCATTGATGAAGCTGTTCATTATACCCATTGCCTTAGAGCTTATACCTATGTCAGGGTGAACCTGCTTCAACACCTTGAATATGTAGATCTTGTATGTCTCAACGCTCTTCTTGCTCTTCTTTTTCTTCTTCTCAACAGCGGCGCCACCTTCCTTCGGAAGCTTCTTCCCGGCCTTGGGTTTCTTCTCCGCCGGAGGAGCCTTCTCAGCTACGGTGGATTTTTTCTCCTCTGTGGGCTTCTTCTCCGCTGGTTTCTTCTCTGCCTTTGGGGCCATTACAAAATCTGAGAGAAATGAAGTATTAGGGTTTCGTTTGTATTGGGATTGGAAGTGAAGGAGTATTTGTGTTGGAATGATGTGGGAAGCGATTAATATATAAAAAGGGGCTACGCGGTGTTATTGGCTTATGGAGTTTGGTGCGGATCGATGACGTGGATATTATTTGTCCGTTAAATAACATCACTTGAGGTACATGAAACTAAACGGTCGCGATGGTCGTTTCACGTGTCTAATATGTGGATCAATGAGTTGGCGATTGCCATGCCCGTTTAAACGTATTAGGGGACTACAGAAAATGACGGTTGCGATTAACATGCACTGTAGCTTTGAAATTGCCCAACAATTCAAAATTCAAAAACCTTTATATTTTTAATATGTTTTGCATTTTCAGAAGACTTATAATTTATATAGCATATCCTCAATGAAAATAATTTATAATATTGATTGAAAATGTTTATCCAAATTTTCAATTGAAATTATCATTTACAAGATTAAATTGGACTAATACAAACATAAAAGATCTTCTCCCTTCTTTAGTTATGAGTAATAAAATATATTTTATCAGAAATATTGTTTGAAAAATGTTTATCCAAATTTTCAATTGGAATTATTGCACTAATGCAAACATAAAAGATTATCTCCCTTCCTTAGTTACAACATTTTACTTGTCTTTAATTCATAGTTTATATATACATTGTTACTCCTTTATTAAAAATAAGTTTCATTAGTAAATAAACTTTAAAAAATAACAACAAATTTATGGTTTCACTTTCTAACCCTCCAACTCTATCTAATTTTAAAACTTTTCCCTCTCGGACGCCACATCCACATTGAGCGGCAACCAAGATGTAGATGTCGTCACCATCGCACCATCTATGAATAAGTTTTTCATCACGGTTGCAGCATTATCTACATAGTTCAAGGATAATATATCATTTATAAAAAGATAACCTCACTCTATCCTTTTAAAAAACTTAATCCATATCTATCTTTTGACAAAAACCATGAGTTTAAGGCAAGTTAAGTTTCTTCCATTTTAAACATAACCCTTTAATATGAATTGTCCAAATATATACATCCTAAAACAAAGAACTATAACTTTTAAAATTCATGTAATAATAATTTCGAAAGTTCACCGGTCAATTATTTATATGGAAGATATTAACACATTGCCCGCATCTAGTAAGATGATATTAATAACATAAATTTATAACTTAGATTTATTTAAATATATATTTTTAAGTTATTATTTATTATGGGACTAAAATTATATTTTATATGTCTAACAATAATTTAATTATTTTGCTCTTATGTATTCATATATACAATAGAGAATTAAGACTTACATACTTTTAAATGTTTTGTTGATTGTAATTATTTTTATTATATAAACATTAAGAGTGAAGAAAGAGTATCAATTATAACCCATCATCTCAACTCAAAAGAAGCCCTATATCCCCTAGTACATTTCAACTTGAAAGGGTGAAAGGAAATGTATGATTTTAGTTAATATTGTGATTTAATTCTTATTACATTTTTATATTTAATATTTAATTAATCATGACTTCAATTTTTTATATAAAAGGTGGATTAATTTACTATTCAATATTTATTTGTTTAATGATTATCCCAAAAAAATCAACACATGGCCTAAAAGATTAATTTACTATTCAACATTTCTTTGTTTAATGATTATCCAAAAAAAAATCAACACATCACCTAAAAAGATTATTCTCTATGCTGTTATTAAAAGATTTAGCTTTTATCATAAAATGATTTTAGGGACAAAAATCAAGTTTTATTTCCAAAATATATTTTATATTTAATTTATGAATAAAAATAAATAGAAAAGATAATAACTGTCTTCCACTATATACACTACAGAGTAATAAAAGGAAAAGAAGAGGAAAAAAAAATAGATAATGTTAGTTAAGGTCAAATCTTAATTTTCACTTCAGATTAATAAAATATCCCACAATCTCAAAAAAAATGTTGAATCCTCCTGATTTTTGTTGAATGGTATCAAGATTAAAAATCTCAACATTTTAAAATGTTATAACCTTAAATCCTTGGCAGAACATAAAAAAATAGAGTATGCACTGTGCACTAACAAAGGGGAATATATATAGTAAACTATTAAAAAACTAAAAGTAATAGCATATACAACTGGCCCATAACTAGAATTAGCATATACAATTGTCCCATGATAGTTCAGACTTCTTAGAAAGCATAATATCTTTGAAGATCACATCCAAAGATGTATATATGACAACGAAATCAAATGATACTTATTCCACTACAACACGTTAGTGGAGAAGAGGAAGCAGACATAATAATATTTTAACAATGTCGCTGATTAATCACATTAATATTCCAGGTAGCTTTTGAAATGCAACAGATCAGCATTAATATTATATTAAGAAAAAGATTAAAAAACATGGCAGCTAGGGAAAATTATGGCAGCATTGCAAAAGGGTGTATATAAATGGTAAACATAAAAAACAACATTACTACTACCTTTTCCTAGAGCTGCATACATAGAAGAAATATTTCATCACTCTTTCATATGAAAATAAAGTGATATAGGAGCATGGATCATGAATCTCATATCCTGTTCCTAGAGGGTATCTCTGCCAAAGGATCTTTAGTTGCCCAAATGATCAAACAAGTCTAGGGACTTGAAGTTATATCATTGCTTGATCAAAAGCTCTATATCATCTTCATTGTCTTCATCATCTTTAATCACACAGCTGCATACACGAATTTCCATTTGGAACTGAAAATTGAACAACTAGCTACCCAAAAAATGTCTGACCTATATATATTATGTATGAATGATTAATTGCTTAAGGAGAAAAAGGGGGTTTAGTTTTCTGAAGGTATAAAGACAATAATTTTCCTTTTGGTAGGGTGGGGTCGAGGGCATAAATAGAGGATCTTCGAAGCATATTCCTATAGCATTATTTCTCTGACCATTATATTCCTTGAATTTGCCTCTTAATTAAATCGCAGCCTAAGAAAAACAGAAAGATGACAAAATGGTAAAAGCCGAAAGACTGGCCCTCCCACTCTCGTAGATAGGAATCATAGTAGCTGGGTTCTTGATTGGAGTTGATTAAGGGCACATGGCACACAAAAATTGCATAAGGCTCATATCAACTTACCAAGTCAACTAGAATCATTCCAAAATGATATATCATTATATTAATCACAATGAAAAATTATAAGTTATATATATATATATATTTTTTATTTTTGTGTAAGTATAATAATTAGTATGAGAATTGAGTAAGAAAATATTAATTTAGTAGTAGAATGACTTTATATAGAGAGCACATATAAAGTCATTGCAGTGCTATATGACCATAGATCCCACTTTAGCTTTTAAAATGAATTATCAATTAATAATGTTGTCAAACAAATCCTTCTCTCCGAAAAATTAATAATGTCGTCAAACAAATCCTTCTCTAACATTCACACCCAAGAAAAACCAAAACTAATTATTTCAATTTTATGGAATCCAAACATTTTTAGGATCAATAGTTCAAAGTTCAACCGGTTCAAATTTATTATCCACAGTTTATACTATTACATGTGCCGGTAGATTGTGATTGGATAAAAACAAAATTTTAAATCAATCATCTATCAACTTGTAATTTTGATGTTTCAATTTTTTAATATATTTTAACGTTTTTTTATCATTTATATTTTAAACTAGTTTAAAATATAAATATATATATTAGATTTCTAATATTACACAAACACTATATCTAGGGATAACAAAAATATCCGGACCTGTAGGTACCAGTCAAAATACTTGCAACAGGTACCGCAAAAATAGCTCATGGGTGGAAACGGGTATCATGATACCCACCCCACGGGTACCCGCATATATTTTAATTAAATATTTTATACTTAGTTATTATTAATTTAACATTATATTTATTTACTTTATTATTACTTCATAATAAAATTTAGTAATGATACTGTAATTATTGTAAAATTTAAGTAAAAATTATTTAAGTAAAAATTATTTTTATAGATTAATTATTGTAAAATATATAAAAATATAATTATAATTGGAAACTCGTTTGGTACTCGCTACCCGCACGGGTACCCTCTAATAGTGTGGGTACGAGCACAGGTATGCATTACTCATGCCCGCCCGTGCCCGTTGACATCTCTAACTATATCTTTGTCTACAAAAAAAACTACATATTTGTCTAATCCTCCTTTTCACAATTATGTTTTTTATATAATTTTCAATATGAATTAAGGGAAACTTATAATAAAATTATTACGTGATTTAATAATCTATTTTACTAATGCATAACCTTAACCATTAAGAAACGGAGTGGAGATTCTCTCTATTTATACTTTGGTTTTAAGGACAAAAAGACACTATAAGTATAAATAGAAAATTTGAATTATTTTTTCATTTTTTATTATTTTGACGATAAAGTATTTTGAAAGATAATCATAGTCCAATATTACGTTGTCACACAGGTGGAGATGCCACCAACGAGCCACAAGACACTGGTATAATAAAATGTAAAAAATTCGATTCCGGTAAATGATAGTTATTAAAAGGCATAACACATGTTTTCGAAAAAGATTAATACTATAATAGATTCGATTGCCAGTAAAAACAAAGAGGTGGGGATACCTGCCACTGCCACTGCCACTGCCACTGCCACTGCCACTGCCAGCATGCGCATATGGGGAACTCTGAAATAAGAAAAGGTGAAGAGAGAGAAATTGGAGAGTTGAGTTTATGAAGGCACAATTGTCGGGGATGCTCCAAAGTACAAGGTTGTAAACACTTCCACCTTGTCTCCTACTCCTACTGTTCTGCTCTTTCCTCCTTTTCTATCATTATTCATCACTTCTTTTTTAATAACACCAAAATTAAAAAAGAAACAATCAGACACATACAAAATAACATCCTTTCTTTCTCTGTAAATTCTGCATGCTCCTTCACTTCTGAGCTCTGCGGATCCTTCATTTCATTTTATTTCCTTTATTTTCTATTTCTCTGCATTTTCTCTTTCTTGATTTGCGTGCACCGAGAGAGGGAATACAGTTTATGCGTGAGTGTTGCAATAGATTCATTCACTGATTAAAAAAAGAACAAAAACTTCAAAGTTAATGGCTGCTCCACCGGCAAGGGCGCGTGCTGATTACGATTACCTCATCAAGCTTCTCTTGATCGGTGACAGTGGTAAGTGCTAACTTATCTCCACACCCTCTTTTCTAAATGTTGTGAACGTTTTAGTTTTTAGGGAAACTATGTAATACAAATAATTTGTTTAATTATGATAAATTTTATCAGGAGTTCCGCTTTACCAATTTTGCCTTTTTAAATCTCAAATTGCTGAATATGCAACTTGTGACAAATGTAATGGACATGTATTATTGAAGTTGTGGTTTGTTGTAAACTGTGATAATTTCATGTTGTTATAACTTCATTAGCTAGATTTGAATCATTCTCTCTGTATCTTTGAAATCAAAAGGTTGAATTTAAAATTTGTGCTGATCTTAGTTGACATTATCTAGCAAATCTGTGTTAAGCTCCTCTGTGATCCATTAATAGTTTGCTTCTAAACCTGCTCTTGTGTTTTCTTTAAATATATAAGGTAAGATGCACACCTTTAATCTTCTTTTCACCATTCACCCTAAAAAGAAGAAATCACATTGGTTGATGTTTCACCTTTAATCTTCACATTGGTTGAAGTCTACAATATAGGCAGAGTGTCATTATGTCATAGTTCCTTCCACCATCGCATTGTGTCAACGAACATGATTTATGACGGACTATTATGGTGGCAGTTGACCCTACCCGGTGACACTAAAGCTTGATTGTTATTGTTGTTGTTGATTATAACTTTAGAAGTATTTTAATAGACTGTCTAAAGGACACACTGGAATAAATGTGTTGCTTTTGTGTACAACGTACCTGGATCTACCATAAATAACCTCTTATGTCTTATGCGTCTTTTGCAGGTGTTGGAAAAAGTTGCATCCTTCTGCGATTCTCTGATGGTTCTTTCACTACTAGTTTCATTACAACCATAGGGTACGTTTTAATGATTTAGGATTACAAATGTTGTTTGCCAGAAATTTCTCTAACATCAAAGGTCTCTACCTTCCTGATGCAGCATTGATTTTAAGATTAGAACCATTGAGCTTGATGGCAAACGGATCAAGCTCCAAATTTGGGATACAGCAGGCCAGGAGCGGTTTCGGACAATTACAACCGGTAAGGTTTATGATCATTACGAGTGGTACAAATTGGTTTTAGTATTATCATGTGTGACAAATAGGCATGTGATGCTTCACAGTGGGCATGTGGTTTAGGGCTAAAATAGAGAAAAAAATGAGAAAAAGTATTGAGAAAAGATTAACAGAGAAAATGTAGAGAAAAGAGTGATAGGAAAGAGAGAGGAAGTAGGCACTGAGAAATACCAAGACGATAGTTCTATCAATTGCAAAGGTACTTTTCAGTCATGTTACTTTAGAATTCTTTCGTTGTTAGTTGTTTTTAAAATATAGCACGAGGGAGATAGAGTTTGTTATTTAAGTTATTTTGTGAATTCCTAAAATTGGTGTTTTTCTTTGCCCAGCTTACTATCGTGGTGCTATGGGTATATTGCTAGTCTATGATGTTACAGATGAAGCATCATTTAACAGTAAAGTTCCCAGCTATTGAATAAGTTTGAAATTTGCAGTTCTGTGCAAAATTATTTAAACTTCAATAACTTTTCCATCTGGAATATTTACCTATCTTGTGCTAATTTCAGATATCAGGAATTGGATTCGTAACATTGAGCAACATGCTTCCGACAATGTTAACAAAATACTGGTGGGCAACAAAGCTGACATGGATGAAAGCAAAAGGGTATGCAAATTTTGTTGGTTTTGTTTATTGAAATTTTGAAACCCTTGCTTTATTTGCCCTCCCATCCCCTCTATTTTTGAGTGGGGTTCCACGAGCAAATTAAATACCTTCTTCCATACACAAATTTGATTCTGAACTGTTGCAGAGCTAATCAAAGGGACCTTAAAAATGAACCATTACTGTTGTCAAATCAAATGTACTTCCATTATTATTATGCAAGTTTTACCGGTAGCTAAGTTGCATCATTATAGATGTTAGAGAAACCATGTTGTCGCTGTGAATATATGAAACATTTTTCGTTGGTTTTATGGCGAGGTTTGAGTTCTGATTTGACGCCTATTTGCCATCAATTGAGCTAGTATGCATGCATGTTATATCTTACCTGATTTGATATGTTTGTGATTATATATATTTGTCATTCACTTTAGGCTGTGCCAACGTCCAAGGGCCAAGCACTGGCTGATGAGTATGGAATCAAATTCTTTGAAACTGTAAGACACCTTCTTGAGAACATGAGTAGTCCTTAACTTGTATGTTATTATGCTCATGAAAAATATTACATTTCAGAGTGCAAAGACAAATCTAAACGTGGAAGAAGTTTTCTTCTCAATAGCAAGAGATATCAAACAAAGGCTTGCTGACACTGACAACAAGTCCGAGGTATTTGAACTTCCTCTCACTAATTTGATGTGTTGGGATAAAAACTCCTCTAAATTCTGTTTGTAAAGTGAATAAGTAAAAGTTGCATCTACTTCTAATTTAATCTAAAATGCAGTATAATATCAATCAATTAAATATTTTGAAGAGTGATAGTAGTACATTCTTACTTGTTCAGTTTACAAAGTAACTCTTACTTGACAGTCCCTCACCCCAAGACTTCTTATCTCTCACAAGTATCATGATATTTTATTTGCAGCCAACAACAATCAAAATCAACCAAGACCAGGGATCAGGGGCTGGTCAAGCCGCAC